AGTAATAGTAATAGTAATAGTAATAGTAATAGTAATAGTAATAGTAATAGTAATAGTAATAGTAATAGTAATAGTAATAGTAATAGTAATAGTAATAGTAACTGTACTGTACGATATACAAATTACAATAACTGTAAATATGTAATGCAATACCTATTAAAAACATGCGAAAAAAGAATTAAAAAAGACACAAAAAATGATTAAAGCTAATTTAACGAACAAGTTCACACATACTATTCAGGCTATCGTAAAATATATCACAATTTGCCGCGATCTTGTTATATAAATCGTAAATACAGGAGATGGGGTTTTTGACTAAGATGTTGGATCTGGGGGAAAAACCATAAAAGGTTGCAAGTTGTCTTCAGTTAGCCCGAGGTACAATAAAATTAATCTTACACAGAAGAGCTGGGCAATCAATTTTACCATGCAGGAGATTATACAAAAAACGCATCAAAGAAATATCGCGACGAATCTCCAACGGATCAATATTGAATCTATTTAATAAATCTGGATGACTGCATCCTCGAGGTGGATAAAAACCATTTTGATGAAAACAAAGAAATTTTAGAAACTGCCTTGAACAGATTTCAATCTCTGAAGATGAACTTCGTAGATAGGATACNACAGAAAAAACTAATAATAGTGTACATACAAGCACTGTACGATATAAAAATTACAATAACTGTAAATATGTAATGCAATGCCTATTAAATACATGCGAAGAAAGAATTAAAAAAGACACAAAAAATGATTAAAGTTAATTTAACGAACAAGTTCACACATACTGGTCAGACTATCGTAAAATATATCACAATTTGCCGCGATCTTGTTATATAAATCATAAATACAGGAGATGGGGTTTTTGACTAAGATGTTAGATCTGGGGGAAAAACCATAAAAGGTTGCAAGTTGTCTTCTGTTAGCCCGAGGTACAATAAAATTAATCTTACACGGAAGAGCTGGGCAATCAATTTTACCATGCAGAGATTATACAAAAAGCGCATCAAAGAAATATCACGACGAATCTCCAACGGATCAATATTGAATCTATTTAATAAATCTGGATGACTGCATCCTCGAGGTGGATAAAAACCATTTTGATGAAAACAAAGAAATTTTAGAAACTGCCTTGAACAGATTTCAATCTCTGAAGATGAACTTCGTAGATAGGATACNTAGACAAAATTGAAGAAAACAACAAGAAGAATATAAAATATTGACATTAGTTAGAAAAAAAGTACAAAAAATCCAGAAAATGTACCCTTAATCGTGTGATAATTTAAACAAATAAAAAAACATCGTAAACAAATGGAATAAAAAATATAAAAAAAATTTTATTGAGCAGTCCAGTAGTTACACTATAAAATTGTCTTAAATAGTGGAATCCGTAACTTCAATAGTTTAAAAGTTTTAGTCATTTAAAGAATCAGATAATGCATTTTTTTATAAACAAATGTTTATAAAAATAGAACCATTGTAGATATGAAGCAGGTAAAAAAAATCATGTTATAGATCAATAAATTATCTGAAATGTCAAAGACCGTATCATCAATAGTTTAGAAGTTATAAAATAGGTGACCGTTTCAGCTTTGATGAGATAAAGTATTTAAAAATGCAATAAAAATTAGAAAAAAATGTTATTTACCACTTTGATGCACATAGCTGTATTTATAATTCTTTAAAGTTACGAAAAAAAAAAAATATAATGAAAATCAGAATTTGTTTATAATAGATTGTTTATAAAATAAACAATGAAAATTTGAATAATTTTTTTTTATATAATTATATTGAGAATAGCAAATGATGATTTAAAAAAAAAATGATTTCTTAATAAATAATTTAAATGACAAATAAATAAAAAAGACGATTATAAACAATTAAAAAATTTATTTAAGAAAAATTTTTGTTTTTAAAAATCATTTATCATTCAAAATTTACCAAGACAATAAAATGGCAAAAAATGTTTCAAAAGTATTAAACTTGTCCATTTGTTTATAACAAATTTATAAACAAATAACGTTAAAAATTTTTTAGCTAAGTTAATAAACGCAATATATTAATAGAAAAACAAATAAAATCAAACATTTGNCACGACGAATCTCCAACGGATCAATATTGAATCTATTTAATAAATCTGGATGACTGCATCCTCGAGGTGGATAAAAACCATTTTGATGAAAACAAAGAAATTTTAGAAACTGCCGTTGAACAGATGTCAATCTCTGAAGATGAACTTCGTAGATAGGATACCATATAATGGAACCGTATTCAAGTTTAGAACAGGGTACAAAATTGAGACTTGAGCGTTCGAATATTAGAAAAATCCCTGCAATTCCTATACAGAAAACCGTAAGTTTTAAAGGCACTAGATACTATATTATTAATATGTTCAGAAAAAGTAAACTTACTGTCAAAAGTTATTCCAAGATCTTTATAGTACTCAACTCGACTGATGGCATGGTCACTAACAAAATAATCATGACTAGTAAAATTCGTTTTACGTGTATAAGTCATGCTCTTACATTTTGAGATATTGAGATTGAGATGATTTAAGTTACACCACGTCGTCATGTGATTCATGCATTGCTGCAGGTGAAGGCAGTCAGAGAGGGAATCATTAGCAAACAGCAAACGTTCACAAAAAAACATATCCGGAAGATCGCTAATAAAGAAAAAAAACAATAGCGGCCCCAAGTTGGAACCTTGGGGCACACCCGACGTTGGAAAGAATGGATCGGAAGAAAAGTTTTGGTATCTAACCATAACTTGTCTGTCTGACAAGTAAGATGAAAATAGTTTCAATAAGGCATTAGAGAAGCCAAACCTTTCTAATTTTAATAACATAACATAATCCCAAATGTCAAAAAGCACGATTTTGCAACTTTTATGTTAGGATTTCTCGAAAACCAGAGAGAAGTTTGGACTTCGGATTCGAATTCAGTGCATCAAAATCCTTAAAAAAAAAAATCAAAAGTACATTCTGCTTTCTGGGTTAGAAGGTAGGCCAAATTTTGTAGGCCTGTGTACATAATTAAATTTTTAAATAGTATCTGCAAATATATTTCCAATTCCCATAAAAAATTTTGTCTCGTAGTTTTCAATCGGTTTGTTACCTCTAAGCCACGGATGTTATTTTTCATGGAGTGGACCATACAGTTATAATTTAATAAATTTTAACTGGTTTATAGGTGATGACAACATTTATCTAGAAATGGAGAAGAATGCTCTATTAAACTTCTTAGGAGCTTTTGACCTAATTCACCATTTCATGGACAAAACGTTTGGGCATCCAGCCATGCAAAAACTGATACAATCCGGAGAAAAGTTCGATTTGATCATCATCGACTGGTTCTGTAAAGAAGCAGAACTTTTCTACGCGAACATTTTTGAGGCGCCAGTTATCTTTACCTCGTCTTTCGGGGCTCAGTATGATATGAATTACGTGGTGAATAATGCAGAACCTTACTCGTACCTACCTGTAAGTGGGTTCCCATTTACAGATGAGATGGATTTCTCTGATAGATTTGGTAACACCCTGGCGATAGTTTTAGTAAAAATATTGATGCTTTACAACAAAATTCATAATCAGCGGATCCTTAATAAGCACTTCAAAAATGCTCCGAGTATTGATGAATTGATGGGTAATGTTGACCTTGTTTTAAGCAACGCCCATCCCATTTTTGAAACACCGAGGCCGTATGTACCGAATATTATATGCATTGGTGGCGTGCATATACAAGAAACGAAGCCTTTACCGCAGGTTTGTACACAAGAATAGTATAAATAATCTGTAGTTTTAATAGGACCTCATTTATTACAAAAATATATCTGTTATATATTGCAATTAATTATAGGATTTAAAAGATTTCTTGGACAAATCTCACAATGGCGTTGTTTATTTTTCTCTTGGATCTCATATGAAAACATCTGCATTGCCAAAGGATGTTTTTAATTCTATTCTGCGTGCTTTTTCTCGGATTCCACAAAATGTATTATTAAAATGGGAGGAAGACGAAGTTCCCGTTTTACCTGACAATGTAATGGTTAAAAAATGGATGCCACAAGACAGTGTTTTGGGTAGGTTTTGACAAAAAGTATTTATAATAGATGTTTGCGATCATTTTTTCAGAAGATTGTTTCGTGGTCCAAAAGCCTAAATAGACTAAGTATCTAAAATTTTCGTTAGTTATTTAAAACACTGGAATTTTTGGAATAAGTCTCTGCAATAGAGTTTTATCTCTATTTTTTTTTTATAATAATCGTAATAATAAAAAAATCTTTATATTCAAGTATATACTATGGAAGATGTTATGAAACTTAGGCTGCTAGTTTATTTAACAATTAAATCAGTTAATATATTCCATTCATCATTCTATATACCTATCTGCTTATTCCTTATTACCTATTACTTTTTTATGCATAATTTGTACACCTACCATTTTTCTAAAAAAATTATCTTCAATAAAAACCTAAGCAAGCCATGAAAACAAAAGTTATTGCAAGTGTCAATGTATTGTTGAACGTAAATAAGTACAAATTAGAATGTTTGCCTTATCAAAAATTATTACTTTGTTATAGAATCATTTCATACCAGCACAATTTTGAACAAAATATTATGAATAATTTTTTTTCATTTGAGAGCTCGTTTTACTGATTTAAATTCATGTCGAAAAAAATCTGTTTTTTGACGGCCCATATCTCAAATACCTTTGAACCCACAACAATGTAATCTTATACAAAGTGGTTTCTAGAGGTGCTGATTAAGAATATCTTACTATTTTTTTAAATCGCTAATACTTTTTTTATAAAATCGATCCCCTTTTTTCATCTCAGATTACAATCAAATATGGTTACGTCTAAAGACTTTATAGGTCACCACCAAAGTTTCAAAATATTTGTTCTGTTGGGCAAATTCTTCTTCTTCTTCTTCTTCTTCTTCTTCTCCTTCTTCTTCTTCTTATTCTTATTATTATTATTATTAAAAAATATTGGGATATTAGGTGAGCGAGATATTAGGGCCTCTCCATGAAAAGTGGGACACATTGTACAATGTATATTTTACTGTTTTTGTAGTAAACTTATTTAAATAGAAAATGAATTTCGAAAATATTAAAGTCCTTATTAACAATTCTCGCAGAGCCTCCGCCACTGGTCGTATTCATATTTATTTATTTACATATTTATTTAGTTACTAAATAAAGTTCCTCCCTTCATCACTAAAAATCTTACGATTCGACTTAAAGCATTTTCCTATAAATAAGTGATTGTAATACATTTCAAAAACATTCCGCGGTTTAAGTATTTTAAAACCAAAATTACCCAAGGAACAACCCCTTTAGATTGTAAGTTGTTATTAGAAAAGATCCTGTACAAATTGGAAGAATACTTATCTTCATATTCCATTCTTGAGTCTTTTTAATTTTTGACGGTAGGAATACGACGAGAGAAATAGATCCGTCTACAGTTATACATTTTGTCGAAATTTTATAGCATATTATTTAAACTTACGACAAAATATAAATGTATATTCACAATGTTTTTTTCGTGTAATTAAATATATTACCGTCAGAGGAGTACCTAATATATTTCTCAATATTAAATTTGTAGAAAATTATTTTCTGAAATGATTGTCTTTGATTGCAGCCCACCCCAACGTCAGAGTTTTCATAACTCACGGTGGTCTGATGGGCAAAATAGAAGCGATTTATCACGCCACCCCAATGATAGGGATACCATTTTTTGGAGATCAAATAACAAATGTGATCCATTCAGTACAGGAAGGAATAGGAATTATCCTATTGCTGAGTGAAGTGACAGAGGATACTTTGTTTGATGCCGTCTATGAAATAATCAATAACAGCAGGTAAATGTTATTAATTAATTACTAAATCAAATATCTCATATTGTCACTGTCATTTTACTAGACTAATTCGTGTATATAAACATGAAGATGTTTTTTATCAGTAAATTTCAAATCTTGGAATGTTTCTGGTACATATTTCACTTGCAAAGAGTGCGTAATCTGTATTACTTGAAGATGATCCCCTCAGATCCACTTTCAGTTAGTGATTTCTCTTATAGCTAAGCTGCAATTCAAATTACTCACTTAAACAAGATGTGATCAAAACTTGTTTGGGACTATTTATAAATAACAAATTAACTGGTAAACTCCAACACCGTCAGGTTATGTTCAGCATCAGGCCATAGAGGTATTGAACAGAATGGAAAAGGAAGTGAACTTGCTAAAAAGGACAATATAGGATAAAAAGATAGGTGAAGAAGAACGTTACTTAATACAAGGAGAAGCGCTTGTAAAGCAAATGGTGATTTTTCCTCGCAAATCAGAACATGAAATGCTGAGTATGAACGATATCGGACTTGCAACAATTTTTATATTACATTGTCGATCAAAGAAGACTATACACCAAAAAATTATTTGAAACTAAATTCGATTAGTCTTTCTTAAATATAAGGGAATTAAGATATTGGTTAAGAGCGACAGTGGGGAGCACAACATATGAGAAATTGACCTTCTGGAAGACGAACCCATAAGACAAAAAAACGATTCAATAGTTATTGTAACAACACTATAGTCAAATATTTTGCCCAACAACTTTAACTTCTTAATTTTGTGACGCACTTTTCCTCGGTTCTCTCTTTATGGATCGTTCGGTGTAAATTTTTATTACTTTTAACTATTGTGTGTACACCCCCTGTAATTTAATTTTTCGGAAAGGTTTTATATTCCTCGGACTGGACTCTAAACGATGACGTTAGTTAATAATTTAAATATTCGGTTTTATTCTCGGGCGCCAGTTTCCATAAATTTGACGTGGGGGAAACTCCACGTATCCCTTACCCTCGGTTTAGAGTAAAGTGCACAGGTAGCTACAGTGAAGAAAATTAATTCCAGGGGTCAATGAATTTCTTTTAGGAGAAAACGGCAGAGAGTTCGGCAGAGAGTAGTTTTCTCAGTGTAGTTTTATTTTAAATATGAAATTTAACGGGAGCTCTACAAAACGATATCAGCGTTTTTGCTGGTTCGGAATGTTATCGTTTTACCTCGATGGTGAAAGAAATAAACCTATTAAGTTTTACTAGATTTATTCACACAGGGAAAATATTAATACTTATTACAAATACATATAGTGTCAATTTTTATTCCTACCCACTACTAAACGACTGAAATTATTTACAAGTTTCTTAACAATAATTATATACAAATTCAGTGTGAAAGAGACAAAAGAAGAAAGCCCAAGCGGTGCAAGGCGGAAAGAAAGGATGGTGAAACGGGATCCGAAGTATCTCGCCTTACAATTCGTACTAGCCTTCAAGCTTTATACGTCCTGGTGGCCGATGGTGTCGGACTCTCTGTATACAACGCTTCTCGGTCTGATGGTTATACACGCCCACCAGGGAGAAGCGTACGTATACTATATGGAACGACCCGGAGATTGGGTGGGCACGCCGAACCTCTAGGTCTTGGTTCACATATCCCCTATTACCCAGCGTACATCAAGGTGCGGGACACCAAGCAACGCTGTAGTAAACACGACGGCTTCGTCAGGATTGGGTTTAACACGCCGAATCCAACGATTGCACTGTCGTGCGGGTTGAGACGGACGGTGGAATTTGTGTGTGATTTACCAAGAATATTCTTCTCGGGCCCACAGTAATTTCACACGTAAAGTGTACAAATCTTTTCGGACTTGTACCCGGTTGGAACGGATAATAATAAGGAAAATAATTCTTACTAGGTTCACTGGTTATTCGGAGCTGGCTTCGGTGGAGAGTTCTTGCTGGCGGTGGACGTCTGTTCGGTGTTAAGCTCTGGATACGAACTGTCGGTTTCGGGGAATGTCGAGGACTTTTGTTGCCCAAATCCCCACCGGATTGACACCGGTCGTGGTGGGACCTCCACGTGACCAACAGCTTGTCAGAGTGGGGTATCGGCCGGTCGGACCCGCGAGCGGATATTTGATATATATGTAGAAAAATCAATAATTCTCGCCGCCGGGGTAAAATAATCCGAAATAAAAAGAAATATCTTTAAATCCAGACATAATAAAATCAAAAATAAAACAGGTTCATTACAATGTAACAATAAAAGGTTTGGATCAAATTTTCTAGCAAAAACTGCATTTTGCCCCGAGTACATTATACGGGTTCGGAAAGTCCCCATGGTACATCGGCCGTTACGTGAGAGCGATAAAGTAAGTCATAGAAATCCGTGCAACAGAGAAGGATAGCTCTAATGAAGGCGTCTCATAGTCACCGCCCGTTTCGCCCTTCCACAAATACGATCCACTTCCACTTGCAATTCAGCGACCGGTGATCATGCCTTTTCTTTAATAGATGTCACTACTTATACTTAATTCCGACTCCGGTATTCCGATATGTTAATACAATCCGTTAACAGAGGGCAGCACAATTTCTCTAAGGTGAGGCGCAGCCCTAGAAAGAGTGATGCCAGATCAACAGATTTATTTGGAATTGGGGAAATAGGAAATTTTGCTTTATTTCTTATTATCCTTTAGTTACAAAAATTAATTTTGTACACATAAAGCACGTTTTAATATTTTTAATATAGTTTTATTTTTATTTTTTTCAGTTACAGTGAAAATGTAATGAAGAAATCAGCTTTGTTAAAAGATCAGCCCATGAAGCCTATAGATGTCGCCGTCTACTGGTCAGAATTCGTTATGAGACACAATGGATCTAAACATCTCCAGAACAAAGGGATGAGACTCAACGTATTCCAGACTTTGTTACTAGATGTAATTCTCGTTATCACAGTCGCAGTAGTAGCGATCACGCTAATAATTTGGAAACTGTTTCTCTTACTGGTTAGATTATTGACTAAGAAAGGCACATCTCGAATTGTGAAATCAAAATCAAAGGAAAATTAATTTGAATTTAAAGTTGTGCACAATGAGAGTTTCTCGCCTAAACACCTTATAGATTTATAGCTTTACATACAAGCAAATATTGGACTTTAAAAGTATTGAACTGAACTGAAAAGCTTTTTATCCAAAACTGTGCAACATATTTTATAAAAATGTGGCGATAATAAACTTGATGCATTGAATAAGGTTCTTTAAGATTTTTAAAACATCTAACTTGTATTGTATAGTAAGAACTTGTGCACAGATTCACTACTCTAGAAATCTTCTAGATACATGCGCCATCTATCAATAAAAAGGTGAACTTAAACAGTATGCTTGAAAATCAATGCTAAACTTTAGAATAGTAATCTCTACCAAGTATTCGTACCAGCTAACTATAGCAGAAATGATGCATTTAAACAACATTGATATATTCTCATATATTATCGTAATTTTATTGATAATAATTAATTATGAATATTAATTGAATACTAAATATTTACTTTATTACTCATTCATTACTGGACGTATAGATGGTGCAAAAGTAAACTCTTCGTTGCAAAGGAAGACTGACTACTTTTAATATAATTGAAACAAAATTCCTATATTTTCCAATAGCAATACAATAGAGGAAAGTACAGAAATGTGTGAGTAGCATCTATTTCTCTTATGCGAGACGTAATTTTGTGATGAACATAAAGGTGAATGTAATCAAGAGTAATATTTTTTGCTACTAACTGTTCCTAAGGACTCTATTCTATATCTACTTCAATGAAGGATGAGGGTCGTGTTCCTTAGCTGAAGGTATAATCAAATCATATGGTGTAACTTCATTTTTTTGTTCACTGGATATATGGTGTTTAAGATTCGTTATCTCCAAACTGTTCGAAAAGATTCTACCAACATGAGTCTGTTTTTGCATCGATTTTGAGATGATTATGTTCTTCTCTAAATCACTTTACTAATTTAAATGAAATTTCAATGGTACTAAAAGTAAAATATTAGGTTAAGAATTGTAGACAACTTAGACATTAGAGTCTCTCATTCGAACTGGAAATAATTTTTTTTTTAAAGTAGGTATGCAAACGACCGATTTTTTATAGCACACATTTATAGACTGCTCTAAAAATTTGTCTTGATCGAGTTAAGTTGCTTTTTAATTGTGGTATTTAAATCTTCTTGAAAACAGTTATAAACAATGGAGAAAATTTCTACATCTCTATTTTTCCGTTACTAGGGTTATCACTATACATATATTAATTCACAAATAATTATTCATCTGTTAAAACACTCGAATACAACGTACGCCTCAGGCTAACTGTTTAAAACGGTTTGAGAAAAAAAGAAACTCGGTGTAAATTAAAACATATTTATAATTACCCAGTTGAAATTTGACCAAAGGGCATGCAGGTTAGGCCGAAGTTATCCAGAATGAAAAGCGTGTTTGTTTTTCAGCTTGGGGCTAATTATTTTGTATGAGTTAAAAACTGGTAAACAACTTGATAAAAGTTCACCAGCTTTGCTAGCAGAATCTACCTAATCTAATTAAGCGAAAAGCCTCATCGCAACAATTTTCAGTAGAAAAAGTGGAGGCAGTCAGTATTACATATATGAATTCACCCACTCCCTTTATGAGCCACTAATTTAAGTCTAGTGCTAAATGTGTAAAATATGTTGCCAACGTCATCTTATTATAAATTGCTGCCAACAGGTGTAAAATGTTGTACTACTACAATAGCAAAGAAAGTAATAAAGTAAAGAAATAAATGGAGTACTTACCCGACATACTCAAATTATTATTAAACAATGTAACAAATTTTCAAAGAAATTATCTCTCACATTTTTCTAACACTTTGAACAAATAACAACAAGAAATTCTTACACTAAAACTTTTCATAAAATCAATGACAGTACAAACAACTTTTGGGATTAATCTGCATTAGCTCAATAACACTTCCAAATCATAAATAGTAAAAAATAACATAAGTAGTGTAAATTTAAGGATATTTTTATGAGTGAAATTTGAGTAAACTTTAGATTTTAACAAATAAATTAACTTATTAACACAATTTTTAGTTAGAGGAACTAAAATATATGAAAATGGAACATACTGCATATGCATTTTTGAATAGGGGGAACACAAACAGATACCAGACGCACAGTTTGAACTCTGCTAGTCATACAACAATACGTTTACATACACTTAGTTGTAATCAATTATTGATTTTAGTTACTATTGAGTGTAGTATACTAATTTGACATACATAGTTTAGCTAACTCAAAAGCTATTCAATGTTACCAATATAAGATTTATTTAGCTAACAAATAATTCAGTGAACTCATTAATGAATTACTCAACGAATAGTGTTATTAATGGGTTGATTTTGAGAGAAAATTTACTCAATCTTGCCGGTTTATACCGGTTCTCATTTTAGGAACAATTATGTGAATTATGAGTTTGTGTATCGTTAAAATAAAATACTAATGCATTCAAAATTTTTCGAATAATTTTTTTTATTAAATAATAGCAAGTTAAAGATTTTACAGAAAAATTTGTAATTGTAATTGTAAAAAATAATTGGCTTTGCAGGTGTTATACAAGCACCTTTTGTAAGATAACTAATTAAATTTTATTTAAATATAAAAAAATTATCAAAACCATTTCGCTGTTTCATATATTTTAGGTGGGCTTCAACCAAATTCATATGCTAATAATATAGTCCAGCTATATACTTCGTGTATTGTATAAACGCATCCAACAAGTAAGTAGTTTTGACGTGTTGCGATAAATTCAAGGGAGACTCGTCGTCTGTGGTGCTACCACCATTATCTCCATTTTTTAAATACAAATATTTAGTGGCATTTAAAATCCTAAAACGTCATCATTTTTTACAAGGATGCTAAGATTTATAATTTTATAATTAGAAACTCTCAATAATAAGAAAATAGATTATTAAAATAATTTGACATACCTGATGTTACAACGCCTGTTCAAAATTTTGTCCACCGACGTGTAAACACATTTGGGTCCGTCTTACTCAGTTTCTACGAAATAACAGAAATGTTGTCCTGCTTCACCATAACACAAATGTTTCACCATAATGCAAATATTGTCTTGCCATAAATTAAAACGATATCCATCAACTGCGAGTTGCTATACACGCAAGCCATTTTTGACAATAACTACTAAAAAACTCTTGTAAACACTATGGCAATGACGACTGTAAAATCGGATTTCAGTATTCGGAGTTGCTGAGGCCACGTGGCTCTCCACGCGTATTACGAATGACGCTAGAGACTGCAGTTGTCCAGCTATGTAATGGTTGAAAGTATTACAACTTCAAACATTTTTTCTCGGAAACTGGATTTTACAATTTTTTTTTACAATTTTGACTGCATTTGTCATGCCGCATCTATTCCCTATTTATTTTTGGATAAGTTATGAATCACCCTGTATATTAGATAGATTTATTTTAGTTGCAAATTAAATAAAAAATAAACAAAAGAACATTTTATCAACATCGCAAAGAGGCCATTTTCGATGTTGATAAAGTATTCTTTTGTTTTTTCTTTATTTAACTTTCGTATGAATTAAATCGATTTAATATAGATGTACATATTGGTCTCTAAAATTATACAAAATGACTTCCTAGAATGTAATATAAGATTATACATTCTCATTTGTTTAAGAACGCAGTGCATTATAAAAGACAACAACTGTACAACGTAAAGGTAGAGGTAAAAATTATTTATTGTTCATAGTTACAATGACAATATACAACCTATACACAAAAGGACTAGACACAGATAACTGATAATTAGCCTACCCCTCAGAAAGTCAATTAACTTACACATATTAAAAGCAATATGATTATAAAGTGTTATTAAGACAGTGTAAAAAACAATATAACTTATAAATACACATACACAACACTCATACATGCTTGTGCAATACACATACAAATACGTAGTATAGTCAGACTCACACTCAAACACACACGCATATTATATTATTACAAGTCAAAAACTAAAAAACAGCAGCGTTTGTGGAGTTATCGTTTTCCATGACAACTCACGAATGCGTTTCTTAATCAGAAGTGCATTACGGAGTGTTAAGTCTTGAGTCATTATTTAATACCATAGCTGCTAAATAGGTAAATGAACATCTACAATACTCAGTTCGATGACGCATTATTTGCAAATCGTGTAAATTACGAAGCTGACGATCATGTACATCATGCCGCCAAACCAATTTCTCATAAAGATAGTCAGGAGTTGTATTATACGGTAAATTATTTACAAAAACACAAAAATGAACATAGCGTCTATCACTGAGTCTTAATTTACCAAACTGTCTAATAAAGGGACTAACAAGGTGAAGAAAGGGTATATATGTGACAAAACGCATGCACCAATTTTGAATTTTTTGCAGTTTAAATTTATCAGCATTTGTAAGTAAAGGACCATAAACATAATCACAGGAATTTAGATGAGATAAAACTAAGGATTCGACCAATACTAATTTAATATCAGAACTCAAATAACGTTTTAAAGGCGCTATTTGCTTAAAGGAGATGAACGCCTTCTTACATACTCGTAATTCACTAACATGTGAGAATTTTCCAAAGGACAATTGTCAGTATAAACAGCAAAATCCCCCAACTGTCTAGTTTTTTGATAAGTACCGATAACCAGGTTTTTACATTTATTCATCAACCACAAAAAAAAATGAGTACCATTCCTGTACTAATTTTTTTACGAAATCCTGATTGGTTAAAAGGTAGAACATTATTAGAATTAAAGTGAGTGATGAGCTGATTATAAATAACCCGTTTCGCAATTTTAAGGGGAACTGACAACAAACTAATAGGTCGTAAATCTGCAAAATCTTTAGCTTGCGATTTCTTAGGAATAGGGGTAACAATTGATGTTTTCCATTGATATGGAATAACTCCAGTTTCAAAAGAATAATTCATTCTATTCCAGTTCTTAAATACATAAACAATTGTGTAAATTTCTTTTAAGAAAGCATTTCTGAAATGTTAGCAACAAGAATATCTAATGCTATGGGGGATTTGTACAGAACGCTTGAAAATAACTGTTAAAACTTCAGTTGGGGATTTATTGATGAATTCTAAGAAGAAAACTTCTAAAATGTTGGATTTCTGAGATACACGACTGCTTTTTTTGGATTAACTCGTGACCT